AATATTTAATAATTCTAAACTAAGGCAGCAAAGGATTATTTGGTGCAATTTCTCTTGTCTCTGGGTTTTATATAAGGTTGAAGATTTTTTTTAAGATAAGAATGAAATAACTCATATTCACATGCAAAAAAAAAAAGCTCTTTTTCTCAACAGTATGGTTTAAGGGCAACTAAGTACTTGTGGATTATCTCTTTCCTACACACAAAGCTCCCTCAACAACAGTTAAGAAAGCAGTGAGTGAAACAAACCAATCAGTGGGTGGGAAGCCTTAATTTAGCCGGTTCAATCACAGCCCTCACTGACCAGACGGGCTATGCCCTCAAGAAAGTGGAGAGTGAACCTTGGATCTGATCAGCCAACTGGAGTCTCTTGCATAAGATCCCAGTATTCAGACAGATCACCTCTGCCTGTATATCTAAACTGGCTGCTTGTGTGCTCCCATAAATCTGTGGCATGATTAAATTGCACAGCTGGCCTCCCCTTTGCTAAGCAGGATACACATCCTGGGAGAAATCACTCACTTAGCTCTATCAAAACAAGCAAAGTATCCTGCTGAAACTGAGCAGTACGAGGAGAGCTCTGGAGAACTGGCACCATGAACTGTCTATGTCATCTCTTTGCCAGAGGTGGCAGTGGCATGTTCTCCAAAAGCTCAAAAAGAAAGCACTGGGCTTCTTTCCCTTCACCTAGGGCTGATCTGTGCTTTCATGTCCTACCATCATTATCTCCCTCTTCTTGTTCAGAAGCAGTGCCCCTCCTAAGTGTCTCTAGTACAGGCTCCCTCGAACCTGTCTACTGCAACAGCCTCATTTAGGATCTTTGTTCACCAAAGATGCAATAAGAGCACAGTAGCTACTGCCCTGCCCCTTTTTCATAACTTTCTCCCACCTTGGATTGACCTTGATACCCTAGGGTTGAGGCCAGAGTCTGTTTCTTGTCTTACAGACCTGTGTCATAGCCACTGTAAGTTGTCATACCTGTCAGAGTCTCTACCCTCTTTGCCAGTTACATAAGAAGCCACATAAATGTCTGCTCCCCAGCGCAAGCTCTTATTAAACAGGGGCCATGTGAGAGGCCAAATGGGCAAGAGGTCCATCTGAGAACCAATTCCCCAGGGAGGCTGAGGAGCTGCTCAGGGCCTTGGCTCCTAGAGCACATCAGCTCAGCTCTCTGCTGGGCTTGCGGCCTTCAGAGCCTATGCCAACGTGTTATGTTTCCAGCCCGAAGGGGGCAAAGGAGAAGCAGCCCTTTCAAAATAAGAATTCTCCTGCTGTTTGTTTCCTTTTGGAACACAATAAGAACAGACCAAGGACATGACTTCGAGCTGTCAACGCTTCCTACCCAGCTTTCACGGCACCTTTCCTTTGCCAGGAAGAAAAAAAAAAGCTGCTGAAGTTAAACAAGGCCTTACTGAATAGTCAAAATAATTGTTTAGCTTGGATATAAGGCCTTAGGTCAATAGATGATTGCAGCAGCCTAAAGGCCAGTAAAAGCAGCTCAGCAGGACATCGCTTGCTCTGTCTTCGGACAACAGCCCAGGAGCCTCTGTTCCTGCAAGGGCTGTTGTTATTATGCTATTTCTCTCTTGTCACCGGCATACTGAAACAATTTAATTTCAGACAGTGCCTGTTGAAGCAAGGAGAGCAAAACCTAAGTGTTGGGATAGAGACACATGCTTACAACGTTCAGTGGACTGCATTAAAGCATCACTACACAGAATGCTCAGATTTAAGATGTTGGATATCTTTGTATTTCAATCATATTGAAGACTTTGTAAAAGTGCTGTGACTATGCAATTTCAGTATTAGAAAAGTCAACTTCAAAGTGGTTATGGATGGCAAATCACAGTCTTCCCAGCACAGGGGTCCCCTGATTGCCTGTGCACTGCCCTCACTTTCATCTTTCTGCATGTGCTGCGGGTTCCTCAGCTTCCCTGCATCAACAGTTTTCCACGTTGCTTGGCCTCCTCTGCACTGGACTTTCAGGCAGACAACAGGGAGATTTCATGTCAGGAGAACAGAAATGAAAACACTAATGGAGAAGGGAATTCTGCACTGCAAGAAGCACAAGGGACTATAATAGCAGGTCAACAAATGTACAATCCAGCCAATTTCATATGCTTAATACAGACAGACTCATCAAGAGATAGTGTTTTAAGTACCTGTCTAGCTTACTGTCATTATAAAATATTAATTCATTTGAAGTCAATGCTGCACAACTATTGTGTCATTTTAATACTCTTCTTACTGGTACAGTTTCTACCATAGGAGAGTCTAAAGTTCTTTTGGTTTGGGTTTTTCTCTTCCTTTCTTTTATCTTCCTCTTTTGGATTCCTATTTATTTCATTTATTTAAAAGGAAGAGAAAGAAAGAGACAAAAAATGGACACAGAGATATTCTGTTACCAGTCCACTCCTCAAATGTGCATGACAGAAGAGATTGGACCAAGCCAAAGCCAGGAGCTGGAAATTCAATCCAACTATTGTAGCTATCGCGTGCTGCCTCCTCTGGAGGAAGCTGCACCAAAAGCAAAGTAAGAACTTCGACCTTCGGAGTCCAGTAAGCAATGTGAATGTTTCAAACAGCAACTTAACTGCTGCACCAAATACGCAGTTGTTTCTTTGTTTCAGATTTTAAAAAACCATATTTAGAGGCTGGTGGTGTAGCATAGTGGGCAAAGTGACTGCTTGTGATGCCAACGTGCTATATGAGTGCTAATTCATGTATCAGCACTCCACCTCTGATTCAGCTCCCTGTTAGTGGCCTTGAAAAATCAGAAGAACATGGCCCAAGTGTTTGGACCCCTTCCATCTGTGTAGGACACCTGAATGAAGCTCCTAGCTCCTGGCTTTAGCCTGGCCCAATTTTGGTCTTTGTGGGTGATTAACCAACAAAATGGAGATCTCTCTCCACTCCCTTCTGTAACTCTGAGTTTCAAATACATTTAAAAAAATTTAAAAACCAACAACAGATCTACATATTCTATAAAATTGGAAACCAATGACATTGAGAACTTTGCCCATGCAATCTAACCAGCCAGGTGTGACCACTCTTCCTGCTACTTGTAAACTTAAAGTGCTATAAATTCAGAAAACTCAAGTTAGCAGATACTTACCAAGTGCCCTGAAGTGGTCTGAGCCCATAGCAGGGATCACAGGGTGAGTGGCGATCCTTCCCAGCCATTCTTCCTTGAGCCAGTATTGTCTCACTTTTACAATAAAGAGAATAGTATTGGGTTCTCCTCACAAGGGTATTGTGAAGATCCAAGGAGAGAAACAAGAAGATAACTACACAGTGATGTTTCGGATAGTGCTTTATAAACTCCAGAATGTTGCAAACACAGAGAGTTCAAGCAAATCCTTCAACTATTCTCGGTCATTTTCCTGTAACTGTTTATCATCTACCCATGGAATAACCAAAGCAGCCTCTTTTGTGATATCAGATCATATTTGTATTTTAAAATGATTTTTATTTATTTATTTAAAGGCATGGGAGAGAGACAGGGAGAGATAGTCAAAGAGGAATCTTACATCCAGTGGTTCATTCTCCATGTGCCTACAACAACAGGGACTAGGCAAAGCCAGACCTAGCAGTGGTAGTTCCATCCAGGAATCCCAACTGGGTGACAAGGATCCAAATACTTGAGGCACAGCCTGAAGCTTTCCAGGATGTGCATTAGCAGAAAGCTGGAACTGCGTGTGGAGCCAGGACTTTAAGCCAGGCTCCCCAATACACAATGAGGGTGTGCCAAGCAGCATCTTAACCACTACTCCGAATGACCACCTTGTATTCATCTTTTTAAAAGAACATTTTCCACTCCTTCTTCCTCTTCCTACTTTGCTTTAAGTTTTTCATTTCATAAGTTGTAACTCTTTTAGTATCTCTATTGCAAGGCAAAAATAGATTACACAAAGCATTTTTAATAATGAAATTCAAAGCTGGGAATAACCCAAGAGTTCATATTTTGCATTTGTAACTCCATGTAAACTCAAGACTTATCCATGGGGGGACATTTTGAGCACTGTCTATTGCTTGGATTGTATTGGATGGAAAGTTTACTCAGGGTGGGTGAACACTAACGATGTGGAAGGGAATAGAGTAGACTATTCCTCCTAGCTGCTCCTACATAGGGGTCCCAGGGTTATCCTAGATCTAGAAAGATCTGGTTTGTGAGAGCTGACCCAATGATCCCAAAATCAATGTTCCTGGATCTGACCCTTCTCCAGGCTTGTGGCCTTCTATCGCTCCTCTCCTCCATGTTATCTGGACATGCACCTACCATCTGTACACATAACAAGCTGGAGAAAATGCAAATAACTCAATATGCATGGTCATTGCCTTGCATGAGTGTAGATAGACAGAAATTAGCAGGTATGGCCAAGTGGCAGGTCTCGTTTTAAGTTCTCTGACAATGCCCCTTTGCTGTGAGTCATATTTTCATTTTATGAGTGAGTTAACTAAGGATGAGATAAATAAATGTCCCAGAGTATCACAGATAGCAAGTATGAGAGCCAAGTTTCTCCAAAGTCTATCTTATTCTAAAATTGATAGTCTCCTGACATATTTGACAACCTGAGGAAAAGGAAGATGAACATAATCAGAAAACAACTGTGCTGGGACCAAGAGATGACACTTTGGGTATTACTAAATGTTCTTAGAACAGAAGCTACAATCCCAACATACCACTTGTATTTATTCTCCATATCCCTGGGAGGTATAATAAAAGACTGTGGAAACGTGGTAAATCACTGTAATTTTCACAGATCCATCCACCAGGCAAATACAAGACACATTGGTTCTAGCATTGCCAAGTTCATTACCTTCAGTTTCATTAAACACCCCCTTGGATATGGTATTCTCTGAGGAGAGCTAGAAGGGAAGCCTTATATTCTCCTGACATCTGGTGTTGATTCCGTTGGAATAACTGGTTAAGGGGATTTGCAGAGAAAAAGTGAGTATACTTGGCAATGTTTTCAAATGTTTGATTTTTCTGTTTTCTAGGAGATGTACGACTAAGGGGTCAGACGGGGGTTCCTGCCGAACGCCGCGGCTCCTACCCATTCATTGACTTCCGCCTACTTAACAGTGAGTAATCCAGCATACCTGGAAAGGAACAAATGTTTTCTTCAAAAAAAAAAAAATCATTTCCTTCTGAACTTCAAAACCTTCTGAGGTCGGCCTTCCTGCCTTCGTCTCTATCCTCCCAACTGGAACTTGAACCTTTGTCTTTCAATTTCCTCACTAGCGAAGTAAACTCTGGCCCTGCCCTACCTCTCAGAGCTTTAGTGAGAATCAATTGAGATCATGTCAACTATACAAATACAAATCTGAAAAAAATCTATGCTGTTGCTTCGTTTTTCGAAAAGTATTCTCTCCCTTTAGCCAGGGCTAGGCTAAATCAGATTTTATTTTAAAAGCCCATGGAGAAACTTACTCAACATTTGTCCTTATTCATTCATTCATTCTCACTTCTCCATCTACTCTCAATCCTTGAGGCCTGTTCTTTCACATCTGGCAAACCATTCCACATGGCCAAGTACTTGTGGTGCACCCTAGCCTTTTCCTCCCTTCTGACCATCTCAGAAATTCATTTACTTCAGCCTTTTCCCTCCTTGCCCTCTTCTTCTGGGAATTTTTTCTCAAACTTCATTACTTTCTTGATCTTAGATTCCTGTTGAAACCCAAATCAGTGACCAGTCATGTCTCCAGATTTTGGATTGTCGGAGTGTCGTGATCATCCTTCATCTGGATTTGTAGGAAGTAGAGGAGAAAGAAGGTCGATTTCTCAATGTGCTACAAGGCATTGATGTTTGGTTCTATCCGCTCTTAGCTGTGAATTTCAAAGCACTGTTACACCAGTAGAGCATTATGTTCCTTCCTCATACACAAGCTCAGTAATTGGGCCATCTGATTTATCTTGACCCCTGGAAATTACTAGGAAAAAATTAAAACTTTCTCTTTCTGATCCCTAAATCCTTGAAAGGCCAACAGGGTTGTTTTCCTACTGGTTTGTTAACTTTCCTTATTGATAGACAGGATCTATTTCATTAGCTCTTTCGGGAAAACAGAGACTTGAAGTAACTCTTTACATAATAAAGATGACCTTTCCCATCCAGACCCCAGAAACAGTTTTTTGAAGACCAAAAGTTGACCAGTGCAATACTGAATAAAGTCTAGAGGAGCTGCCATACGTTTTCTGTCCTTTCCTTATGATCTTGAATGGTCTGGTTCAGATGCCCACAGAAGTCACATCTTCAACAGTATCTAGATCCAATGTATTTCTAGGTGTCAGACAAGTGGTTCCATGAAGCAGGATAAGAATAAACAAAATATACTTTTTATTATTTCATCCTGGTCAGAACTCCCCAATGGCTTCCCATCCTGAAAGTTGGAGGAAGCAAAGAACCAGAAAGTCTCTTTTCAATGGTAGGTGTTATTTCAGGAAAAAAAAAAAAGATATTTCTCTTATGGTCACCATATTCCAAATGATTTTTTAAAATGAAGTCCAGTGCAAATTGGCAGCATTGCTGCAAATTGTGGCAATGCTTGTCAATGCAATAGTTAACTGTCTATCATGGTCTTTGGTAACACTTGGACTTCTTTTTCTTTTCTTTTCTTTTCTTTTTCTTTTTTTACAATTGACCTTTATTTTCATAATCTGGAAAAAATCAAAATATATAAAATTTTAAAAGGCATTCTGCTGATAATATTTGACAGTCCTATTAGAAACCTAAAACAAGTTATCCAAAGCAACTGCCATCTTTCCCTCTCTTCTGTAGATCCTGCAGGACATCTCCCGTGCCTAGACTCAGCCCCAGCTTTCCTCCTTGACCCTGGGTTCTCTGTCCTTTCACCCAGCCTCTCCCTACCTGTGGCTCTACCTCTCATTTGTTTAGTGACCCAGGCTTCTGAAATTCCCTTTTCCCTCTGCTGCATACTTCATTCTGAACAGCTCTTTCTCATGCCTCTCACCTCTCACATATGCCAAGGCAATACAAGAGTGCATTCATTGTATTTGATACATAAGTTGCCTCAGATTATTTTTCCTAGATTAATAAACCACAACTCTAAATAAAAAACAAAATTTTAAAAAACAGTATCTTCATAGTTATTGACCACTTTATAATCAGAGTTAACTTACCAAAAGATTTCCAAAAAAAAGATTATACTGAAAGACAATGCAAATCACTCCCCGTGTCTAACTGGACAGCAAAGATAGGACTTTAGATTCTTGGTGCTATCGTTTAAAATTTTGTTTTTTAAAAAATTTTTTTTATTTTATTTTAATAACAGAGGAGAGAGACAGAGAGAGAAAAATGTTCTATCTGCTATTTTACCTCCCCAAAAAACTAGAGTGGGGCCAAGATAAATCCAGCAGCCTGGAACTCAGTCTGGGGCTTCCAAATTGGTGGCAGGAACCCAAGCACCTAGGCCACCACTGCAGCCTACATAGCACATCAGCAAGAAAGCTGGAATTGAAAACAAAGCCGAGACTCAAACCCAGCCACCCCAGTATGGGATGCTGGCATCCCAGACACCTTAACCACCACACCAACTACCTGCCCTGTCCACTCCTTCGTTTAATGCCCCTCATCATTGAAAATAGTCTAGTCAGATTACTCTGATATTCTTCCAGTTTCCTACCTTAGCAATTAGAGCATCTCATCACCAAGTAGTAGCAGAAATGTGGACATTTGTGTTACATACAGTCACATAAGATAGATTGGATATGTCACATTTCTACTATCTTGCATACAATCTGTTCTTTTATTTCATTCAAGTCCTTGTTGTGGTTTGCTTGGTAATTAGAGTATATTTTCTGCCTAAAGAGGGACATTTGAAAATCAATCCCAATTCTATCTGATAAATGGCTTTCTCCCCCATCCTATATTCCTGCTGCTTTTTTAGATCTATTTTTAAATTGGAAAGGCAGATACACAGAGATAAAGATCTTCTACCTGCTGGTTCACCCCTCAAATGGCTACAACACCTGGATCTAAACTCACCTGAATCCAGGAGCCAGGAGCTTCTGGTTTCCCATGTGATGTAGAGTCCCAAGGCTTTTGGGCTATCCTCCCCTGCTTTCTCAGGCCACAAACAAGGATCTGGATGAGAAGTGGGGCCGTCAGAACACAAAATATTTCCCAGATGGGATGCAGGCACTTGCAGGCAGAGGATTAGCCAGTTTAGCCATCGCTCTGACACCATGCTGTTGACCATCAAATATGTCTAGTGAAAATGGTCAGGAGAGGCCATTTGGCTGAGAGGTTAAGTCACTTCTTGGGTCACGTGCAGCCAATATCAAAGTGTCTGGCTCAAGTCCCAGTTACTCAGCTTCCAATCCGGCTTCCTGTAAATGGACACCCTGGGAGTCAGCTATGTATTTGGGTGCTTGTCTCTCTCAAGAGAGATCCAGATTGAATTTCAGGTTCTTGGTTTTGGTCTGACCTCACTACAGCTATTGGGGTCATTTGGGGTGTAAAGGAATAGATGGAAGATCTCTTTCTGTCTCCTTGCGTTAAAAATAAACGAAAAAGAATAATAAAAAATCTAAACATAAACAAAATATATAATAAAACCCAGGCAACTGCCATTTCATATCCAGAGTGCTTTTGGAAGTTCACCTTCTACATCCCCAGTGTCTGCCCAATCACTGCAGCATGCACAAGAGTAAATGAGTATCAAATAGGAAGGCCCATCACATCGCTACAAGTCCCATTAACCATGGCTCCAGCTTGTCTCTGTGGGACCAAGGATAAAGAAGTAACTTGTCTTCCATCAAAACCAAGTTCTAGGTATGGAAACAGATAACCAAAATGGAAATGGACAAAAGACAGCCCCTACACCAAATCTGTCCTGTCCTCTCCTTGCTGGTATTGATAAATGACATATTATTGGAAATATAATCTGCCCACTTGTTTGAGTCACCTTTGGTGGCTTTCATTTGACAGTGGCAAGAGAAGTTGCAACAAAACCCATATAGTTCACAGATTCAAAACTGCTTATTATATGACCCTTTTACAAATAAAAAAGTGTGCTAACCCCTCAGTTAGATTATTTTCCATAGGTTTAGGAGGATTTTATGCTATTGGCTCTTAAGTCCAGTTATTTTCTGTCATTAATTTTTTTCTTTGCAATGTCTTTACTTTTAACAGTTGACTTATTTGACCACAGTGACATTATGCAGAAATAGAAACAGTAAGGAAAGTCCTCTTATTGATCCAAATTTTAAAATCCCACTTACAACCATAATTTCTAATAGCATAAACATTTTTCTAGAAAAGAGATCCCTTCCACAATTTTGTTCTGCACATGTACTACCTGTTGTCCACATAGAAACTGAGTGTGTTCACCTGGTCTGCCTTGCATGGCCCTCATTTGCACCTCTTCTCCGTGCATTCTTATTGGTAGCTCCATCTTCCATTCTTTAAGTGTCTTGTTTTGGAGAATATAGAAGAAGACTGGTAGGTTTTCCCACAAAAGAGAACCTCTCGTAGAACGCACATAGAAGCGAGTTCAAGAACTCTATCATAGAAATAGTAATAATGGCACATACTCTTCATTACAGAAATAGAGATCATAAAATCCTCCTAAGAGAGCCATTCTGATCAATAAAAAGACACAAGACGAAACTACTGTTAAAAGTTAGTGTCATTCGTTATGTCTATTTTACACAATTTTAAAATGTGTCACAGCTACATGAATTCCTACAAGTTTCTCCAGATAAGCCACAGGAAATTGCCGCTTTAGCACCATTGTGTGGCACATGGGAAACATGGATCCTTCCAGAAGCAAATTCTCCTTACGCTTGAGCCTGGAGGGGCAGAACAGAGCAAGAAAAAAAGGTGACAATTATTTTTATTCCAGATAAGGTGTTCAAACAGATTTCTGGAGGCGGCAGGAGTGGTGCAAATGCAACAGTTCTGTTATCCCAATGCCACTTTCTGGAGATGTATTTCATTTATTAAGTGTTTGGAGGGAAACAAGAGAGGAGAGAAAGACGTTCAGAGGCGGGTGCACAGTCAAAGGGAGAGTCGCAGACGCAATTACCATCGTCTGCAGGGCACGCAGCTCTGTCTCCGGCT